TGTTTTGTTACTTATAGAGATTAATCGAAAGAAAAATATTATATTTGCCCTATTGGAATTGCTGGTTTGTTTATGTATATTCAGAGAAAAAATGTCTATATCATCATCAGATAGTAATCTTTCCAGTTTAGGAAACAAAGTTTCAAAGCAAATCAATTGTTATTAATCTATTTTTATTTTTCTACTTTTTATTGCTGGAAATACTCTAGTTATCTTTCTCTTATTACATGGAGTTCTTCGTCCAAATACGTGTGCTTTTTTCATTCCTCTTTTTATTGGTTGCTAATCTTATCGTCTGTTTCTGATGAGAAATAGAAGTTATGGTAGACTATGAATTATCGAGAGTACTTTTCACATATGTGCGACATATTTCAATGAGCATGGCTTTTATAAAAATTAATCAATCAACACTAATTGTCTTCGATGGAAGGACGATTGATTAGCTAGCCCGAGGTGATTATAAGAACATTTGGAAATATACAGAACTAATATATGTGTTCTTTATTAATCATATATCGTTTTAGGGTAACTATAGCATTCCCAAGATAGAGAAACAAGAATCGTAATAGTCTCAAGTGGTAAGTTTATGTCTATTTAAAGAATATTTTCATGATTTCAGTCAAATAAATTATGCTTCGAATTACAACTAAAAATAGTTGATACCATGGACAAATTAGCATCTAAAGCTAAATCGGCTTGTGTGTGTTCCGGACACTTTTTACAATCTCTGTTCTTATTTAAAACACTCACTTTAAATTTTTTTCTTGGTATATTGAAAGAAAATGACCAACCATATCGCGAAAATATTATGATGAAAACTGTTTTTAGTGCAACAATTCGTTTGAATTCTGAAAAATAGTTCGTTTTTTAGTGCATAAAAATTTCCATCGAAAATGACATGAAAGAATTTTGAAAAAAACTTTTCTTAATACATTAATCAAAACGATGAAAAGATCAACACCAGCACCCACACCCTCGGTGTGTCAGCGTTCCAGTAGACACTGTGTTGGTACCATCGTTGATTAGTAGACTGGCACTGCACATCTCTAATCATACTACCTTTGAATCATAACTATGCAGTGTTTGTTATTTTGCAGACGAACATTTGATTTACCGATCATGATTAATCACTAATTGCCTATTAACAATGTGGTCGAAGATAGAATTCGATGACACTCATTATCAAATCGAAATACTGCACCTTTGGCATCCAAATCATCGTAAGCCCATAATGTTTTATCATATATATGATCATATAACATCGAATATTGAAAAAAAGAATCTATGTGGTTTTTTTATACGGCAACTACCTACATCGCTTCAGGCTTTTTATGATTTAGTGTAACCTTCATGAAAATAACTACATTTTTCAACTAAGGGAAGATATTATTCAAAGTCCATATATAAATTTTAAGAGTATACTTGTTGGTTACCAATAACTAAAAAGTATTGGTTAAGTATATTTCTTCGAAAATACCACTGTAGATCGATCATATCAGACCTGTCAATAGTAGTACTAGCACTTGCTTGATTACTAATTCATTTTATCATTTATATCTGTAAGCACTTTGTGTTTATTGATCAAGTCTTTCGAGGAATTTCGAATTAAATTTTTTACAATGATAAAACTTATGATAAATATTAAAAAAAACAGCATTCTATCACTCTAATTTCAAACAATAATATCACCTCAAAATTACTTCCTGAGTAATACTATTTCCGCAATTTTCTTGTGTAAGAATGCACTAGGAAATACTAAAAGTAACAGTTTTAGACTTATCTTTATGACTTATACTATCAAACAATATCTAGATATCGACACAAATGTTTTCTTCATAATTCGAACTCTCTAACATCTCACATTGTAAGAAGAACATTTCACTCTGACTGAGATAGTTCATGATTGATTTATATATAATTAATTACAGCGTTATTTTTAAATGAAAGGGTTCTCTTACTTTGCAACATGTTTTTTCATTATCATCCTTTTCAGTTTTGAATAGTTCATATGAGAATGATTTGCAATGCATAGGACGACGAAATCCAAAAACACAAATACTTTTAGGAAGCTTTTGATGAGATTTGAAGTGATTAAGAAAATGTTTTACAAGAACCTTGGTGCGAAAAGTGCACCAAGATACAAAATTATGTTGAAGTATTTAGGAGCAGTTAAATGCACGTGAAAATAATTCTAGCTACTTGGTAGTACTTTAAAATTAACCTAAAATACTTTAACATAATTTTGAATGCGAAGAACGCTCTTTTTATCTTGATTTTTCTGACACTAGTATTTAGCTAATGACAAACGATAAAAATTTAGAATCAATTTTTGAGGCGTATGATAAATCAAGACCATACAGAGAAGTATCTTCAATGCTCACATCTATGATGAAGGAAACACTCATAGTTTGTGTTTTATAAGCAACATATCAGTGTAACTCTACTATAATGAATCTTATCAAGGCATATACATAAATACTGATGAGCCATTTAAGACTGACCCATATCTGTTGATTAGTTACGGAAAGAGATTCTGAAAAAGTAATAGATGTTTCTTTTCTAAAAGCATGTAGATACTGAGAACTTTTTGAGTTTAATATGATGAATAAATGAAGTAATTATTCTCCTCATTATTTTCTTTTCATTAAATATTCTCTTCTACAAATATGCGGTACTAATGATTTTGAACTTTAGAATCAACAGAAAGTCAGCGTCGTAATAACCCCTCAACGCTTTCTCTGTGCAACATCTTCTTGACTTCGTCATTATTTTTATTTGCGTTTGTCAATTTTTTTTGCAAAACACTTTGTGATTATGATATTCTTTATAGAAAGATGCATTTTTATATGAAATTGATGTTTGTCACGCAATATTCTTATTACAATACTACATTTTAAAAATTTCCTCTTATACATGATTGATGTTCTTCATGAAATATTCCATTATTTTAATATGATTTGTAAAAGCATATACATTCATATGTAATTGATGTGCTGTATGAAATCATGCTTTGTTTCAACATTTGCTCTCCCAGTGCGTGTTCATATATGGATCGTTTTGCTACGGATTACAATATCATATCTTTATTTATTTTTAATCAATTAGCTTCGACATTATTGTTTGGAACGAAGCGTGCGTTATTATGAAAACTTCTGAATAAGTAATTTAATTTGCTACTCTGTAATTGTCTTGACTTTTCAGCATCAAGACATACAACTGTTAAAATCAGAAGATTGACACTGTTTTCAAGAATGCTGAACTTATATGTTGATTCTTTAATAAGAGATGAATCTTATTTCGTTATTAGCAAAGCGATCAAGTTTTGACAAATAAAAACTGTCTCTAATGAGTTATCATTCGGTTCCACGAGATTTTCACCAGAACCAACCTTTCTAAAGCGTATTAAACCATGAGCATCGCTTATACTTCACAGCTATTTATTATATGAGTTCAATAATTTAAGTGTTTGGTAATACTTTAGTAACGATGAGATTTTTTCGATGAGATTCAGTCCATTTATAATAAGTCATGGATTACACTCCTTAGTAAGTAACTTAGATATCGTGAAAATCGATGACATGTGCCTAAATCTGATAGTATCGTCTGAGATACAAGTTTATTATAGCTTTATGATTATGTTGTCATTTCTTATGAAGAACTCTTAAAAAGTTATAAACTTTGTGATTTTTGGCTGCGTCTCTTTTAAATCATTTCTTGAAAACATATAATGAATGACCTATCATAATGAATCTGAAAATTGAAAAACTTGAATACATTGGAAAAACAATAATCTAAATAAAAGTTTAGTTTATAATGGTATTACAATAATTTAATAAATCAAAATCAGTTCAAAACTATGTCTTACTTTGTTCTGGAATGAGATGAAAATATCTATTGATGTAAACTCCGTACAAGAAGTGAACTTTTATTTATAGATACAATACATTCATCTTTTAATTATCTCTTAGTCACATTACATCATCAGTTTGTTTTTCAACTGAAAATGTTAATTTTCTCTTTTGATTTATTGAAAATATTTAAAAAAAAACCGCTTCATGAGAAAGCATCATTTTGTTACGATCATTGTAACAAAGCGGCATTCGTCTTTCATTGTGATTAGCCAAACATACCATTTACTAGCGCATCATTTATTCATTCGCTGTGAATAGATGTTTTATTACATTCTCTTTCTGAACTCATCATTCCAGAAAACGAGAAATTTTGATGTGTGCGTATACAAAGGCAGAAAAGTAGAGAGAAAAATGGAGAAAAAAACATGAAAAGAAAACTTTGAACGGCTCACTATATAACTGTATCTCACCTTTCAAGTTTTGCATCAGTCTACATAAATGCTCTACTTTACACTATATTTATTAATAAAACTTTTTATTTATATTCCATTGTTAAAAAGACCTTAACATATTAGCTCACTATACTCAATTTGTGATAGCACGAACTCCTGCTTCAAAACTGTAGATGTGTATTCTTTACTTATCTTTAGTATTGAAATGAGATAGCTTCAAATATTTTTGTTGAGCACAGATTAGAATCGCTTATGAAAGTTTCCTATTTACTATTGAGATAAGATCATTCAACTTATGTACATTAACTTGACAGTTTCCATTCAATCAACATCTAATTACTATTGTCGTGAGCAGCCTAGAAACATCCTCTGTTTTAGAAAAAATTGTAAATCCAAATACACAATGAAATTCATTTTTTTTTGTTATTTATTTTTCGTAGAATCAAACTGAATCTTTTTAAAAATTAAAATGTCAGAGTTATCGTATAACGAATCTCTTTCCGAAGTATTAAATGACATTTCAACTCAATTCAACCGTTATGCTTCGATTTTCATTTTTCTGTTTGGTGTTGTGGGAAACATTCTCAATATTCTTGTTCTTTCACAACGATCTTTTCGTTCTAATTCATGTGCTTGGATTTTTCTGGTTTCATCCATTGTTAATCTCATTTCTATTCTATCTGGTCTTATTACAATAATGATTGGAGGTTGGACGACAAATCCAACTAATTATATTGGATTTGTTTGCAAACTTCGTGCTTTTTTTGTATTCTCAACAAGAACAATCGCTCCGTGGCTTATCGTATTAGCCACTATTGATCGTTGGCTTTTATCAAGTGTTGAGGCTCATCGGCGACAAAGAAGCACATTAAAAAATGCTCAACGATGGACAATGATTATTGTCATTTTTTCAATTCTTCTCTATGCTCAACAATTATATTGTTATGAAGCAAATCTTATGGATACTCCTTTGCAATGTTATGGTAAAACAGTTGCATGTCGTTATATCACTGATTTATCATTTGCTTCAATGACAATTATACTTCCTTTAGTTCTGATGATCTTATTTGGTATACTAACTATTTCAAATGTTCGTCAATCTCAACGGCGTATTCAAGGACTAAAATTACACAATATGCAGCCAACGAGGCATAAGCCAACAGGATCAAATAATGGAAGTCCAGGGACCAAATCCAAACGGAGAACAAATCATAGTCTGCTTCGAATGCTTCTTGTTCAAGTTGTACTTCTCGCTATTTTTACGGCTCCATTGTCTCTTGACAAATTCTTTTCAACATTCTCAGGAGACAATGGATCACCGACGGAGAAGGCTATTAACAATTTCGTATATGATTTAGCCATTTTGTCTTATTTTATATCAAATGGTATACCCTTCTATATTTATACATTGTGTGGTGGAACTGTGTTTCGAAAAGCTTTGTATGATTTTTTTACGCTGATGAAGCGAAAAATGATGTATCGATAGAGTTATGAATATTGAGTGAATAAAATATTCTTCTGTAATAAATTGTCAATCAAGTACACAGAATTTCTTTATTTTTCTCTGTTTCATCACCACAGCTTTTACTAAGACTTTATAATTTTTCACAATACAAATGGTTTTGCTATTAAAGCCAAGTCAATTAGACCATATCAAATAGATTAATGTTGACATTAAGAAGTCTTCTTGGTTAGTATATGTCGCATGATACATATCAATGTTTCAGAAGAGTCCATATACTCAAATGACAAATACATTTTCATGGCATCATCCATTCAATCTACTTATTCACTGATGTGATGCGTCAAAGATTTACATAATCAATCTTAGCATACTTCATATCCCTACGGTATCCTTTGTATCTATTCCTTTTCTTGCATATGCAGAAATTCATTGACTGGAAATTATTACAACGCTGATGACATCGAGATATGCATTTTCTTTTGAACAAATTGCAATGCAAACTTTTTGTTGTAAAATTTTGATTGATATGGCTTATATGATCATAAGCTGCTTGTGACATTTCTAACTATGTCTCACACAGTCCCATGCTTATCTTGTAGTGTTTTTCATAAAAAAGAATGAGATGATCCTAAACAAGAGCTAATAGATACAGAGATTACATCTGTCTGACTTGAATCAGACAATCACGATAGATGAAAATATTTTGTTTATATATTTCAAGAAAAGAAAAGAATCCAATGATCTACATCCAAAATCAAACGAGCATTTTTATCAGATGTTTCAGACAACATTTATGAAACCTTGGCAAAATAATGTATATTCCTTGATTTTGTGCCGCTCCGAGAACTCTTTTCGACTTTCTTTATATTTCATAATGTTTTCAAGTATATTTCAAGTATCAGCACAAAATAATCATTATATATTATCTTTTAGTAAATCTATTCGACGATTTATCATTTTCATACGTTGTGTTTTGATCGAAAGAAGAATATTATATGTATAGAATTTGAATTTCTGGTTTTTTTGTGTATACTCAGAGAAAAAATGTCTATATCATTATCATGTGATAATTTTCGCATTTTGCTAAACAATACCTGCAGGTAAATCAATTGCTATGTGTTAATGTCGGTTCGAAAAACTATGTGCTTACATCGTTAGATGTTTATTTCAGATAGAGCATTAAGTGTTGTGTCGATTTCTGTTAGAGTAACTTTGAATAGCTGGATAACGATAGATTTTTTGAACTCAAAAAGAAACACTGATTACTAATCAGACGTGAATTACAATAATCTCGAAGTATGAATTCATGCCTATTTAAAAGACATTTAGGATATTAGAATAGGAGAAATTAAGCTTAGAGCTTCAACTGACAATGCCTCATGCAGTAGTTCTAATTCAAAATCCAAATCAAATGAACTTATGTGTATTATATACATTTTTCACGATCTTGGTTTTTATTTACAATCACATGTGAAAGCAGTGCTATTTATAATGTAATTGATTGCTAATCCATTTTATCATTTATATCTGTAAGCACTTTGTGTTTATTGATCAAGTCTTTCGAGGAATTTTGAATTAAATGTTTTACAATGATAAAACTTATGATAAATATTAAAAAAACTGCACTCTATCACTCTAATTTCAAACAATAATATCACCTCAAAATTACTTCCTGAGTAATACTATTTCCGCAATTTTCTTGTGTAAGAATGCACTAGGAAATACTAAAAGTAACAGTTTTAGACTTATCTTTATGACTTATACTATCAAACAATATCTAGATATCGACAAAAATTTTTTCTTCATAATTCGAACTTTCTAACATCTCACATTGTAAGAAGAACATTTCACTGTGACCGAGATAGTTCATGATTGATTTATACATAATTAATTATAGCGTTATTTTTAAATGAAAGGGTTCTCTTACTTTGCAAGATGTTTTTTCATTATCATCCTTTTCAGTTTTGAATAGTTCATATGAGAATGATTCGCAATCCATAGGACGACGAAATCCAAAAACACAAATAGTTTTAGGAAACTTTTGATAAGATTTGAAGTGATTAAGAAAATATTTTTCAAGATCTTGAATAACACTACCAAGTTTCTATTATTGAGTAACAGCATACTTAAAGGTGAAAAATGCGTCAAAATAGAAATTTATCTGAGTATCTAGAAGCAGTTAAAGATAGATAAAAGTAATTTCAGATACTCGATAATATTTCAAAATACAGATAAGTCTTGTGAAATACATTGAAATATTTTTGAATATGAAATGCCCTGTTCTTATGCTGATTCATTGACAAGTTTATCAGTAATGTATTCACAACATGAATAACTGTCAGAACTCTAATCATGACATTGATTAGGTGACTATTTAAGATATGATATAATTCAATTTCCATGTCAATTAACTAGTATTTAAATAATGACAAAAGATGAAAAATTAGAATCAATTTTTGAGGTGTATGATAAATTAAGGCCATACAAAGAAGTATCTCCAATGCTCACATCTATGATGAAGGAAACACTCATAGTTTGTGTTTTATAAACAACATGTCAGTGTAACTCTACTAAAATGAATCTTATCAAGGCATCAACAAAAATACTGATGAGTCATTTAAGACTGACCCATATCTGTTGATTAGTTACAGAAAGAGATTCTGAAAAAAGGAATAGATGTTTCTTTTCTAAAAGCATGTAGATACTGAGAACTTTTTGAGTTTAATATGATGAATAAATGAATTAATTATTCTCCTCATTATTTTCTTTCCATTAAATATTCTCTTCTACAAATATGCGGTACTAATGATTTTGAACTTTAAAATCAACGGAAAGTCAGCGTCGTAATAACCTCTCAACGCTTTCTCTATGCAACATCCTCTTGACTTCGTCATTATTTTTATTTGCGTTTGACAATTTTTTGCAAAACACTTTGTGATTATGATATTCTTTATAGAAAGATGCATTTTTATATGGGATTGATGTTTGTCACGCAATGTTCTTATTACAATACTACATTTTAAAAATGTTCTATTATACATGACTGATGTTCTTCATGAAATATTCCATTATTATAATATGATTTGTAAAAGCATACGCATTGATATGTAGTTGACGTGCTGTATGAAATCATGCTTTGTTTCAACATTTGCTCTCCCAGTGCGTGTTCATATATGGATCGTTTTGCTACGAATTACAATATCATATCTTGAGTTATTTTCAAGCAATTAGTTTCTACACTATTGTTTGGAACGAAGTGTGCTTTATTATGAAAAATTTTAAATAATTAATATAATTTGGTTATTTGTAATTGTGTTGACCTTTCAGCGTCAAAACATACAAGTGTTAAAATGAAAAGGTTGATACTATTTTCCATAAGGATGAAATCAAGGGTTGATTCTTTAATAAGAGATAAATCTTATTTCGTTATTAGTAAAGCAATCAAATTTTGACGAATAAAAATTGTTTCTAATGAGTCATAATTTGATACGATGTGATTTTCACCCGAACCATGTTCCCTAAAACATACCAAACATAAATACTATTCATAATTATGAGTAGGATGCGAAATGAACAATTAGTACGTTGACTTCCTGTTAGTGATTCATATATATATATATATATATATCACGTTCTTGTTTAGCCTGGAAAACAGCAGAGTTTTTGAGTACTATGAATCGTATAAATGTAGTTACTTCAAGCTCTTGTAATATCTTAAGAATCCTCGGACTTTCTCGATGAAAGTGAATTTTTTTATAATGAGTTATAGGTTACATTCCTAAGTGAGTAACTTAGAAATCGCAGCACTTGATAACATGTAGCTAAACCTAATAATAGAGTCCCAGATACAAATTAATTATTGATCGATGAATAGGCTATTGTTTTTTATGAAGAACCATAAGAAATTCATAAACTGCAGAACTTTCAGGTAGGTATCTGTTAGGGTATTTTGTTGAAATTGTATAATAACTTGTGAAAAGGAATCTGAAAATGAAAAGTTTGAATAGATTGAAAAAACAAGAAAGTGAATAAAAATGCCCTTTATCTTAATATTATACTAATTTGATAACTCAAAATCAGTTCAAAACTATGTCTTAATACTGAAGTGAGATAAAGAACTCTAATAATGTTGAGTCTCAACAAAACGTAAGTTTTTGCCTATAGTTACACTGCATTGACCATTTTACAGCGTCTCTTAGTCAAACTACATCATTAGTTAATGTTTTATTTTTATATGTCAATTTTCTCATTTTAATTATTTGAAAAATCAGAACAAAAATACAGTTCATAGAACAGTGTTATTCTGTGGGATTTATTACAATTATGTGCAATGAAACTTTCAATGAGAGAAGGACAAGTACACGCTTTTCTAGCACATAATTTGATGATTTCGGTGGAATGGACATTTTAGCATATACCATTTCTGATATCATCATGCTATAAAATGGAAGCAATTGATGTGTACACCAGGAAAGACAGAAAAATAGCGAGAAAAAAGCAAAGAGAAATAACTATTGTGGCCTATTATATAAATGCATTCCACTTTTATTAATTGGCATCACACAGTTAGTGGCTTTCTTTTCCGCAAATGCTCTTCATTGACTTAAAAATTATCGTAAATCAGTCAGAAAGTCATTATTTGAAAGGTACAACTTTTTAGAAAAAAAAGTTTTTTTTTGACAAAGTATCCCAAGAGGATCCTAACCCGTATTTTTCCAGGAATATAGTTTGAAAATGATTTTGAGACCTATATCATGTAACGCTTCTTAATTTTCTGATCCGTAGTGTTAACTTAACTTTTGTATGAGTGCATAATTAATGCGTAGAATTAGGTTTCCAACCAAAAACCTGCGATCATCGGAAAATTTTTGACATAGACTTGACAACTTTTACTGGTTGAATTCATCTGATTCTTCAAATATACATCAGTTTGCAGAGAAGATGTGCTTCGCGCGATATCAAATAATCAAACACTTGATTTATATTTCACTTTTAGAAAAGCCTTAACTTTGATCCAATATACTCACTCTCGGTTAGGATCAAGCCGTGCGTTAAAACGGTAGAAATGTATTTTTTTTTCTTATTCATGTTCTTATTGAATTAAAATCTAGTTAGTGTTGTTGTGAACATCCTCGAGATATAATATAGTTTGAGAAAATATTAAAAGTCCAAAATACGTTATCAGATTCATTCTTTTATCATTTACTTTTTAGTAAAATAATATCAAGTTTTCTTCAAGACAAGCATGTCTCCACTATCACATAACGACTCTCTTATCATATTATTGAACAATATTTCAACTCAATTAAGTCGCTCTGTTGCAGTTTTTATTTTTCTATTCGGTGTTGTAGGAAACATTCTTAATATTCTTGTACTCTCACAACGGTCACTTCGTTCTAATTCATGTGCTTGGCTTTTTCTGGTTTCATCCATTGTTAATCTCATCTCTATTCTATCTGGTCTTATTACAGAAATGATTGGTGGTTGGATAATTGATCCAACCACCTATACAGGATGGATTTGCAAACTTCGTGCTTTTCTTGTGTTCATAACAAGAACAATAGCACCGTGGTTAATCGTTTTAGCCACTATCGATCGATGGCTTTTATCGAGTGTTGATGCTCATCGTCGACAAAAAAGCACATTAAAGAATGCTCAACGATGGACAATAATAATAATTATTTTTTCAATCCTACTCTATGCTCAACTGTTCTATTGTTATGAAGCAAATCTTATTGATACTCCTCTGGAATGTTATGGTAAAACAGTTGCATGTCGTTATATCACTGATTTCTCATTTTCTGTGATTACAATTTTATGTCCTTTATTTTTCATGATTTTATTTGGCTTGTTAACTATTTCAAATGTACAACAATCTCAACGTCGTGTTCAAATATTACAATTACAAAATAAGAAGCCTACAAAGAATAAGTCATCAGGATCAATTGGTGGGAATACAGAACATAAATCAAAACAAAGAACTGAGCGTAGTCTTCTTCGAATGCTTCTAGTTCAGGTTTTGCTTCTCACTATCTTTACTTTTCCATTGTTTCTTCAAAAATTTTATTCAACATTCTCTGGAGAGAAAAAATCTCCAATAGAGATGGCCATTAATATGTTTCTATATAATTTAGCCGTTTTAATATATTTTGTATCGAATGGTATGCCTTTCTACATTTATACATTATGTGGTGGAACCGTGTTTCGAAAGGCATTATCTGAGTTTGTTTTGATGATGAAACGAAAAATGATGTGTCAATAGATTGATGTATCGTAAACGAATAAAAAATTTTTGATTGACTATAAATTTTCAAGCACTCACACAAACTTGTTTTTTTTGTCATTTCATTATTATTATAGCTTTTTGTTAGACATAACGAAAATCTTTGATGTTCCCAACCTGACAGTTGTCATAGGCCGGAACTATCCTGAAGAGATTTGTGATTTTTCGCTTGGCAAACTTCAAAAACTGGAGAAAAACATGTTGCTATGGGTTTTCAAAATTTTGATACGTTTCGAATGAGAATTTCTTTAAGAATCTAAACGATTTATCCTTCTTCTTGAATCATGAATCATCGAAGAAAGTGGAAAATCATATAAAAGACTGGCGTCACAGAACTTCAGGATGTTGTCAAGATTGAAAACCGAATTTCATCATAATGCTAAACAATTGACCAATACATTTCAAACAAGGAATCTCTTCAAGAAATCGTAAATCCAGAAAGAATAGTGTGTAGTTGAAAGATGAGAAAGTTTTTTCAGCAATAGAACAAGATCTTAGTAGGATCCTGAGTAATGATCCAGTAAGCTATTGGAATTCGGACGTCTAAATTAAGAAAAAAACCGAAGTTTCACTGGAATCTTGGTAATGTTGTCGAAGTTCTTTATGAAACTTTAGTAGAATTCGAACATTCTCTAAACTCAGATGGCAAAGTTCCAGACGATCTCTATAATTTGTGCATATATAAGACTGCCCACACATTGACATGGAGGTTTTGTGCTGAAACCCTATCGTATGGTAGCGTTGAAAACTGCTTTCAAGTATTTTCACCGTATTTTTTTTCAAAATTCGCCAAACTTATATGTTTTCTGACTATTTTTTAATGAATACACTCATTGAGAACAACGGATCGTGCCCTTTGTCTTTGTTTCCTTCTGTTCAGAAATGCAAAATGGCTATATTAGCATCTCAATGTTTTCTTTTTATTTTCTTCTATTTTTATAGCACAGGTGCTGAAGTTGTCTTCATTGCCGAACTATAGTACAAAAACTTTATCACACTATTTGGCTCTTACTGTCGTCGAAAACTTTCAAGTTTTGTGGTTAATTCGCAACACCAATGATTTTGGAGAGATTCACAAAATGCCACTTGCTTTTTGTTCAAGATGTAATTAATTCAATCAAGACATTCATTGACCTTAATGAATGCATCTATTTTATTACGAGTCTCAAAGATAAAAACCATCCTTCTGATTATCCCTCAAAAAATTGACCAGCAAGAAGCCTTTTTCATTGAAAACTTCTCTCAAGTTAACTTCATTTATTTATTTTTTTTTGCAATAAGTTGATGATAAAATAATAGGTTAAACAATGTAAGAAAGGTAGAGACGTATATACTGATAATAAATGCTACCTGTGATGTGCTCAAGCAAGATGTTCATCGTTTCGATCGAAATAGAGTACCCATTATTGTTGTTTCATAGGCATCTGCTACTAGTATCAATGAACTGGACCCATCATTCATATATCCCCAATTTTTAAAAGAGATTCTTCTAGATATACCACATGATAAGTATAACAAGAAGATTCTTGTAGATTTCAGTGCTAAAACCTATGCTGTCAATGATGTACAAGTAAAAATCATCGCTGAATTCGAACAACAATATGACAAACTATCTCCTGTTGGTTGGTATACTCGTGAATGCTTCCTCTATTGGACGTTGAACACAGTTCTACGAACTCACGATGCAGAAACTATTTTGAAAATGGGTTCTCTTCTTCGAGATCTTCATTGCCAAATTGAAAGACTATACTTGCAGAAGGAGTCTTGCAATTCGTTGTTTATTACTAGATGACAAAAGCGTAACTAGTGGGTGCCCAGGGTGTCGGGACATCTCCTCCTACTTTGACCAAAAAATACCTGAAGGGGGTACGGGTAAAAAATATTTTCGAAAAACAAAAATTTATTTTGCTGCTGGTGTGCACCCCTCTCCCTCCCCTCCCTCCCCTTTAGAAAATTTCTGGCTACGCCACTGCTAGATGGCAGAAATTCAGACATCTAACAAATAAAAGCACAGTTTTCATTAAGTTCATTTTTTATCTGGTCTTTGAAAAGGACTAGGTGAATTTTTCTGCAGAAAGAAATCTAGAAATTCCTCAAATCACATATAGACCAAGCCAGCTCTTTATGTCGACTTCGAATATTTATGTTAGTCTTAATTTAAATTCAACTTTTCTAATCGAAGTCCTATACAGATTGATTAAAAAATCACAACACTACGCGAGGACTAGAATGTACTAAGAAATCTTTTAGGCAACCAGTTATTTTGTGTCTTTGGAATACATAGAATTTTGTAGCTTTTAAAAGGGCTATCAAATGAATAATACCAAAGCTATGTCTTATAGAACATCGGACCGATATCTCATTAAGTTAAACAATCAATTGGTGATTTATATATATCGATTTCTAGCATCATTAAAGAGCTATGAAATGCATAATTTTCGTGCTATTTCGTCTTGTTTACTTATTATCAACTTGAATTCACCGTGATAGTGTTGATTATTAGAATAACGACAAAGGGTTCTTTACTTTTGTTGATACCTTTTAGATTTCAAAGTTTGATCGAAACCTCATGAAACTATTAGAAAAATGTTGGTTTCAATATGCTGTGTCCGTTGATATATGATTCAATACAGTTGGCTAAAAATAATTATAAGCAGGTTGATTTGATCTTTTAGGGATTCTCTTTCGTTATATACTCATGCTAACAAGTCATATGTGCTGGATGAATATATTCCCTAGACTGTTCTTAATCAATCACTCTATTTATTATGATATTTCTTGGAACATGCATTTTCATATGTGATTAGTGTCTACCACGAAACTGTCTTATTATTTTAATATTAAAAAAAAATGTTCCTTTAAACATGATTGATGTTCTTCACGAACCGTTCCATTGTTCAGATATGTTTTTAGGCAGCATATATTTTCATATTTGATTAAGGTTTTACACGAAATCTAACGTTATTTAGATGTTTATCCTGAAAATAGCTTGTCGAGATGAATCCTATTTTGGTTAAAAAGAACAATATTAGAAAAAACTGGGCTAAAATGCCAAACGATTAGAGTATCGAAAGATAAATATGTCGATTGATTCAAGTGTCGAAACAATACAAATTATTGTTTAGTTGATGATAAAGGATTGAATATATTTATTTCATTTATAGAATTTATATTCATAAGAAAAAAAAGTTTTTTCTACGAAAAAAGCAGTTGACTAACCGGAAAAATCTTAACGAACACATTAAATTAAATCATGCGCATGTTTTATATTTGTGTTTTTCAGAAGTGTTGGTGTGGATAGGTGAGAAAGAAAATATCACAACCATCCAGGCATATATATGCATCCTCATATATTACTAATTGGTTGATATTGTCATCTCATGAATCGCCTATTTATCTTTTCTTGTTATACGAAAATGATTTCAAACATCAGAATTATTATAATAAACACATATTACGGGAATGGTACTTCTGATATTTTTTACTTTTCGAAATTGCTAGAATAACCCCTTTTCACATATGCAATCTTTTGCTTCAGAATAAAGTATTATATATTTCTTTATTTCTAAATCAATTAGTTTTTACGATATCATTTCAAATAGATTATTTATTATTATCAAAATTTCTGAATAAATTATCGTGTTCCCTAATATGTAATTGCCGTATTCCTTCACCATTAGAGTGTGTAACTATTAAAACCAAAAGGTTCATACTTTTTTCAAGAGTAATGAAATTATGAATTTGATATTCTGCATTGATTCTTCAAGAAAATATTAATCTGATATTGTTATTAGCAATATCGCCTCCGTTTTGGCAAGTAAAAATCGTTTTTGATGAATTATAATTCGATATTATATGGTCTTCAATAGAACCGTCCTTTGTAGAACATAAAAAGACATGAACACGGCTCATAATTACGAATCAGATATTAGATGAACGATTGTTATGTTTACTTCCTGTTAGTAGTTCATATATGTCGTGCCCTGTTTTAACTCGTAAAGCAGCAGAATTTTTTGAAATTATTTTTAATTTTAAGTTAATAATGTTAAATTCTTATAATACGTTAATGACGATAAAAGTCGCTCGATGAGCTTCTACACTTTTATAATAAGCGATAGACTACATAAATTAGTGTGAAACTGATGTATCACGATATGTCGTGACATATAGCTAAGCCTAATGCCATCTCTTGAAATACAAATTCAACATAATTCTATAAATTTATTCTCGTTTCTTATGAAGAACCTTTTAAAAAATCGTAAACTTCGTGGCTTGTCATTAGGCTTCTTTTAAAGCATTCCTTGAAATTGTGTAACAATCTGTCGAAACAAATCTGAAAATCAAAGGCTTGAATACGCTGAATAAAAACACCCGAATAACAATTTTGTTGATAATAATAATATAGTAGTTTCACAATTCAAATAAGTTCAAAACTATGTCTCATTTAGTTCTGAAATGAGATAAATAACTCTATTAATGTTGACTCTCTATAAAAGATACGTTTTTTATTTGTAGATACACTATATCGATCATTGAATTATTTCTGTTAGTTATACCATATCATCAGCTTGCTTTCCAACTAGATAATTACCATTAGACAAAACTAGTCGTTCAATGCAAGAAATTATATATGCCATTTAGTTGCACATCATTTGCTGATTTTCATTGCATGAATGTTTTGTCATGCCCAAGCAGTCAGAAAAGTTAAATGGACGCGTTATAACAACCGTTTTGCGTTTTATCTTGTAACGCATTTTACACAATCAAAAATGTCCGAATTTTGGCGTTTTAACAATCGCATTTTTTTCAGCTTTCACATCGTTAAAATGGTAGAAGAGATAAACGATTAAAACGCATTTTCGAGATCAACAGTTTAAAACGCGTAAAATCGGACATTTTTGACTGTGTAAAATGCGTTACAAGATAAAACGCAAAACGGTTGTTATAACGCGTCCATTTAGCTTTTCTGACTGCTTGGGATATTACAAACAATATTAAAATACAGTATTTACTAATACATAAGAGATACCAGGTAATATCGGTTCGAAGAAAGTCGGAAGTTAAAGAGCATATAACAGTAGTGTAGTTTCATTTCTTTTCAGAGAATAGGTTCATGGTCATGTAAATGTAAATAATCGAGTGATAACTTTCTAGCAATTTTTTTTTTGTTTTATTTTATCTTCCAAATAATAAAAAAAATTTACAAGAAAAACTAACTAACTTAAGTGTTAAGGATCTCATGCATTTTAAATTTAAATTGTCGGATCTTGCTTATTCACTAGGAGATTTTTTCACTATTTGGAAGATAAAGTAAATATGTTAAATTTCGCTAGAAGACTATTGCTAGATTATTTACAATTACATGGCCATGAATCTAATCTCTGAAAAGAAATGAAACTACACTATTGTTGTATGCTCTTTAACTCCTGACTTTCTTGGAATCGATGTTACTTGGTATCTCTTATTTACTAGTAAATCCTGAATTTTAATATTGTCTGTAATATGAAGGTATATGAGTTATATCTATTCTTTCCTAGTCTTAGCCACAGTTCTTACTCATTGGATCTATTTAAAAAGTTTTTCAAAACTAAATAATGAAGTAGAAAAACTGAAACGCACGTCATACACTATTTTTCTCTATAAGCACTATTCACCTAAATATATAGTACAATGAATCAAGTACCTAATATAGAAGTTTCTTTTTTGTTACTCCAAATATATTTGGTAATGCCTTTTCATATTTAGAAAGTATATGTTGTGGTCAAAATTAAAATTTTAATTTTGACTGAACAAAATTAAAATTCTTTTTTTATTGAAAAGAAAAACGTAAAATTTCGATAACAAAATGTATGGATGTGGGTGAGGATGCTTGGTTTTTAAGCGTGTGGGTGTAGGTAGGTATAGAAGGAGCAAGGGCTCTAGGGTTGCCATTTTGCTATTAATTTATATAAATTTAAATCATCGGTAATCAATTTTAAAATAAATTAAATTTTATTCATAATTTAAATTTAAAAATAAATTTAAATTATCAGAATTTATATTTTAAATAAATTTTGCTTTAGACAATTTAAATTTATTTTTAAATTTTAAATTATGAAAAAAAAAATTAAATTTGTTTTAAATTTAAATTACCGATAATTTAATTTACGCAGTAGTTAAATTGAAAGTAAATATAAATTGACACTCCTACAAGGCCCCTATTGCACCCACACTCATATAATATTTGTTAATAATTTTTTTGAAATCAAAAAGTTGTCGCTACTTTGGTTTTTGGTTTTTCTTTACCTTTTTCTTTTCATCCAAAAAAATTTTACTTTCGTCCAGTCAAAACTAAAATTTTAGTTCTGACTGACATTATGTTGGACAAAATCAAAATTTCAATTTTCTCTGAGTAAAATTAAAATTTTAATTTTGACCACAACATATATATCATTTCGATGGCAAAAAGCACTAAGAGATCAAAATATTTCTATCAAAGGGGAAGTTAATAAAGAAACGACTGAACAATGTTTTAATATTTTTATCCATATCATGAATTATTCTTATGTTTACTATTTTCGTAGTAGCGAGCTTTTTGATGTAGATTTAACAGATTCATATTAAAATTCGTTATGAATATAATATTTTTTCCTCGAATAATTTGAATTAAATTTTAGTCCGTGGACACTTTTATTGTTGAAATGATATATAATTATTTTGACAAGAATAGAGATCTAACTGAGGAAGAGTGAAAGAAAATATGTGAACCTTCAGTGATTTTTATGATGAAAATAATATTTTTGATTTTGAAAAAGAGATTTTTGGATTTACCTGGCTGAGTTATTCTTGAGAAGATTAGCGCACGAAAAATAAATTTAAGCAGAGAATCGATGAAATAAAAAAACGAATCCCTACATGTATTACAGAGTATTTAATTAAGACTCTTTTTTATAAACTTATATGCTTGGGAATAAATAGAATGATATGTATTGATTGAATAAGGAACAATAGGAATTACTGAATAGTTATGAGTGTTGCTCTTCGTCTTGTTGTAACAACGAAACAAAGAAGTTCGATGCTACTGGTTAGCGCTATCACCAACAGGATAGGAGAAATGGATAACTTTGTGGAAAGCTTTCGTTTTATTCAAGTTAAAGCGCGTTGTTACTAGAACAAAAAATAAAAGTAACAGTAAACGAGTTTAAACGATACCTATTTAGTTGATCCTGTTTGATATATAAAAATACATTAAAACGCATCAAATCATTACAATTTGCCTATGAAATGCATTAAAATCTGTTTACACAAGAATAAACCCGTCTTAATGGGTTCAACGTTTTGATTCATCATATTAATGAGTTATAATGCATTTTTTTTCATTTTTTTGTCTAAACGCGTTGAAACGTGGTTATTTCTTCATGTGTTCAGTCAACGCATTATAAAGCGTTGTTTTCTTCTATTCTACCATTCAACACGTCAAAACGGCGTTTATCTGTCTGCGTGGGTATTCCGGCTCTGAAATCATCGCGCCACAAAATGAAAAAGTTTGATGTTCTTGTCTGCAAAGAAAAATAGAGAGAAAGAAATTTAGAAAGAGAACTTTCGACAAACTATCCTATAAATGCTTCTCATCTTTAAAAACTTGTATTAGTCTACGTAAATGTTATATGCTTCACATCTCATTAATTTACCAAGCTGCTGTTTTAAAGTCTTAACTGAAAAAAAACCTTAGCTTTGTTTTAATATACTCAATCTCTGATAGTACAAAAGCATGATATAAAAATGGTAAAGATGTACTCTTGTGTATTATCAATATTAAAAAGTGGTAGCTTAAATATTCTTGTAGAATACATATTAGAATTTATTATGAAAATAAAGTATTTACTATTGATATGAGATGATTTAATTATTGTATTTAACTTTAAAAGTTCCTATTTATCTATTTTCAGAAAAATAGATTATTAGATTCAGTTTTTGTCATTGGTTTTTAGCAAATCATATTCAATCTTTCAAAGAAAAACATGCTCCAGTTATCATACAACGAGTCTCTTATCATATTATTGGACAATATTTCAACTCAATTAAGTCGTTCTGCTGCAGTTATTATTTTTCTATTCGGTGTTGTAGGAAACATTCTTAATATTCTTGTACTCTCACAACGGTCACTTCGTTCTAACTCATGTGCTTGGCTTTTTCTGGTTACATCCATTGTTAATCTCATTTCTATTCTATCTGGTCTTATTACAGAAATGATTGATGGTTGGATAATTGATCCAACCACCTATATAGGATGGGTTTGCAAACTTCGTGCTTTTCTTGTGTTCACAACAAGAACAATAGCACCGTGGTTAATCGTTTTAGCCACTATCGATCGATGGCTTTTATCGAGTGTTGATGCTCATCGTCGACAAAGAAGCACATTAAAGAATGCTCAACGATGGACAATAATAATAATTATTTTTTCAACCCTACTCTATGCTCAACTGTTCTATTGTTATGAAGCAAATCAGATCCATACTCCTCTGAAATGTTATGGTAAAACAGTCGCATGTCGTTATATTACTGATTTCTCATTTGCTGTGATTACAATTTTATGTCCTTTATTTTTCATGATTTTATTTGGCTTGTTATCTGTTTCAAATGTACAACAATCTCAACGTCGTGTTCAATCATTACAGTTACAGAGTATCATATCTATAACGAATAAGCAAGCAGGATCAGTTTTTGGAAATACAGAGCGAAAATTAAAACAGAAGACAGATCGTAGTCTTCTTCGAATGCTTCTTGTTCAAGTTTTGATTCTCAGTATTTTTACTCTTCCATTATCTCTTGACAAATTTTATTCATCTTTCTCAGGAGACAATGCATCTTCGGTAGTAAAGGCTATTAATGCTTTCGTTTACGATTTTGCCATTTTAATGTATTTTGTATCAAATGGCATGCCTTTCTATATCTACACATTGTGTGGTGGAACCGTGTTTCGAAAAGCGTTGTATCATTTTATTGTAAGAATGAGACGAAAAATGTTGTGTCAATAAAATTTATCTATTTAGAATAAATAAAAAGATTTTGATTGACCATGACATCTGCATCACTCACATTGGTTTAGTTTATATATGTTTGTTTCATTAACATAGCTTTTAGTGAAAAATTTCAATATACACAAAACAATTGTTTTTGTCTGTTATGTTAATTTCATTCAGCTATATCAAGTAAATTAATGTTAAATTTAAGAAGTTTTCGTAATTCAGGTATATTGGAAGAAGTATTGAAAACTATCGAAAGCATTAATGTCCTCAAATAAAAAAGGTGAACTTTCCTAGCATTAACCATAGAGTCTTATTACTTATTTAGTAATGAACTACTTCAAAGTGGAAAAAGTGAATTTCAGTGTGTTCCATACTCCTATTTTATCCATTGTATTCACGCCGTATCTGGAATCCGCAGACGACGGCATCCCGTATTTCATGTTGATGCAGTAGATTTTGGGACCCACTATCTCTCCTTGAATAAATCATGGTGAACATATTTTTTGTACAATTTGGATACCATAGCATTTATGACCGGTAGCTGTTTTTAAAAGTCTTTACTACTGAATGTGTGGCAACAATCCTATATTGTAATTGAAGGTGTCTGATTTCGCGTTCGTGAATATTCTTCCCTGAAGGAACGAGAGCGATTTCTAAATTTCATTTACTAGCATTATATATATATATATATATTGAAGTATTGATACAATTTTGCCTATTTTTTTATATGAGGCTGTTATGTGTTTTGGATCCCTAGAAACTGCGATCCATCTCGTGTTGCCGTTTTTAGGGAAAGAAAGCGATAACTTGAAATAATTCCTGTCCACCAGCTAATAATAAATTTCTTGCTTTACGTACAAATATACCACCATTTTCAGTTAATGTACGACAAAATATTAAAAAAAATGACGATAAAGATGTTTTATTTGTCCTTGTAGACTCTCAAATAAATATTTTCAAAGAGAATTTCTTTTCTTTATTCTTATTGTAAATGGTCCATCAATAACAGTAACCATATCACCAACATTTAAATTATTATTTTGTGAATCAATTGCTGCTGCATTTCGATTTATTTTTCGTTTTGTTACCAATTGAATTGGTAGAACTTGAACTTTTCCATCCATATTTAATCTATGTAAACGTTCTTTTTCTATACGTATAACAACACCAACTTTATTCGCTCAATATAGAAAAATAAACATGTAAAAGAAATTTTATAATAAAAAAAAACATACGAAATATTAACTAAATCTTTAAGTTGAAATTGTCCAGTTGAATCAGCACCTGGTGCTGTTTCTATACAAATTTGAAGATCTGACGTTCGAACAGGCCTCTATGCATTAGAATAAGAAAAAAACAGGTAAATTATATAAATAAATTTGTCTACAAATTTCATCTTTGGTTCCATCATTTAAAACAATTGGTTTCGTTTCATCAATTCCAACAATCATACCAGTTTCACCTTCATATCTTCCATTTAAAACTTTAACATGATTACCAATAGAAAAATATTTTCTTAATTCATTTGCTTTAAATGCAATTTCAACTTTTGAGGTTTCATGTTTTGCTAAGATTCGAATTGAATCTCCATCAATTCCAAAAATAGTACCTTGTAAATTAATTAATTCATCTTCACATACTTCAACTTGATCACTTGGTGCAAATAATAATACATCATTTTTCAATGTTTTTTTTTATTAATTGCAAGTAAATTGTAAAAAAAAAACAATTTATTTAACCCATTCGACCCGATGAGACCAACCGGTAGGTCTCACTGTGTATTTCATATCTTAATCTCTAAATGCGTTTTATTAAAAAACAGGATATACCATAAGATGCAGCGCAAAAAGCTCTACAATTCCCATAGTAAGGTTTATTTTAATTATATAATTTTTTTTTTCAAAGAAAGTAAAACTCTGTGTGACTAGTTTTCGAGGTTGCGAAACAATCATTGTTTTCTACACGACTGTGAAATTTCATTTTTCTTATTTCGTCTTTTTGTTGCCTAATGCGACTTCGTAAGGAAAAATAAAATATACCACAAGATGCAGCGTGAAAAGCTCTACAATATACACCCTAAAACCTATTTCAATTATGTACAAATCTCGACGTTATAGTCTCAAAGCTACCTCAAAAATTGGTCGCACACAGTTTTGCGTTTTCTTGAAAACAAAAAGTACACAATTGAAGTAGGTTTTACGGTGTAGATTATAGAGCTTTTCACACTGCATCTTGTGGTGTATTTCGTTTTCTAATAAAAGGTATTTCGAAATCTGATTTTCTATGAAAATCGAATCGTAGCGAAAGGGTTAAAACATTAAATTTTTTCTGTTTATATTTTAGGAAAAACTAGCGTCTGCTAAACATCCGTTAACCGATAAATTAATAACAATTGAAATCAAACATGCACTAACAACTTCACGTGAATCTTTTCATTTGAAGAATTTATTTGTTCCAAAGTAAAGTATGTGATTGTTTTCTTGTTTCATATTCTGTTATAGATTATTAGAAATTGCTGATTTGAAATTAATTAGTCGAAATTATTATTCACTTGATAAAAAAATTCAACCGGATCGATATAAACTTAAACTTTTTCCAGCTTTTTTTCAATGTTGTTCATCTGAATGAAAGTTACTTTGACGAAGAAGTATTCTTTAAAAAAAATTAATTCCATTATATTTACGCCAATTCTTGATTATATACAAGTGCATTTTTTTCATAGGACTCTCCATGCGTTCGAAGAAAGAGAGAAAAAGAATATTATTCAATGAATTATCAATTTATTCATCGTTCATTTAGATTATACAAAAATGTGTCATTGTTGATACAGACGACATCGGTCAAATAAAACCTTCGAGTGTATCGATATAAATACTGACATTTAGAACATGCGCAAAATAGATACAGATATAGATGAACATGAAATACTCATGTGTTCAATTGAATGATCTACCCGATGAAATTCTTATGATTATTTTAAAAAATTTGACTAATGCAGAAGTACTTTATTCTTTATTAGGCGTCAATAAACGACTAAATAATATTGCAGTTGATCCCGTTTTTATAAATAATTTATCTCTTGTGATGTCTACATCGGATGGTTTGGTTTATTCATTACCTGATCCAATACTTGATCGATTTTGTTTACATATTTTACCTAAAATTCATCAAAATATTGAATGGCTTCATCTTCAATCACGATCACTGGAACGCATTCTTCGTGCTACAAATTTTCCGAATTTGTATGGCATTAGTTTACATAATATTCAAGCAAAAACAGCTATAGATCTTTTTACGGGTAAGATACTTTTGTTCTTCCAATCAAAGATAATTATTATAGATATTACTAAATTCAAAATGATTTCACTGTATTTGGATTTGTTAGTATGAAGAAAAGAAGGTTATCATGAAAGGGATGATTTTCCATGAAGTTTAAGTACTTATACAAAAATGAAAGATCTACATGTAGTCTCTAATTTAAAGTTTTCCACAAATTTTTGAAAAAGAAAGTCTAGAATAAAATCAATAAATTTTTAATACTTTATCATTGTTTAGAACAAACTTCCGTAATTCATACTTTGAAAAATCAACTTTTATCATTTACTATCGACATTAGTACAAAAGGAACAGAATGTTATAAACGAGACAATAATGCAATTATATTTAATCATATCCTGACTATGTTCACTAATTTACAATATTTAAATTTACGATGATCGATTATTCTTTTGTATGAGACGTTCAACTGTTATCTCCACAAATTTGTTAGAATTACATGTCTCTTTGCATACTTGATGATTGTCTTTATTTACTTGATGGACATTTCAATCAACTTCGTTCACTTTATGTTGATGTTTGTATGATTTTCTGTTCGGATAGAAGTGTTAACAATACGGTAGAGTTTATTTTGATATCTAGTTTAAATCAAATAATAATATTATTTTTTTGCAGAAAGAACTACCTAGTTTAAAATGCTTTTGTCTACACTGTAAGACGATAACAACTGTTTATGATGAATTAGTTGTGCCACTTTTACATCGAATGTCGAATTTAGAAAAGCTTGATTTGTCTATTACTGTACATGAAAGGAAAACAGTTTTTGATGGTAATGATTTGAAGATGAATATCATTAATTATATGCCAAAATTAAACAATTTCACATTTAATATTCATTCATTAAGTAGTTTCTATAAAAAAATTAATTTATCATTAAATCAAGATATTCAAAGGACTTTCAAAGTTCTTAATGATAAACAAATAATCTATTGAACTGATTATTTTCCAAAAGAAAAGAAAGGTCATTGCCATATTTATACGTGTCCATATAAACTAAACTATTACAATTATATAACAAATAATGTTCCAGGTGGAATATTCAAATCTGTTCGTGAAGTATCATTATTTGATGAACGACCTTTTGAACATGAATTTTTCCTTCAAATTGCTCAATCATTTCCATTCTTGGAAAAATTATGTGTACGTAATTACGAACGACAAATGTATAAAGAATGTAGTAAATCAATCAATGGAAAGCAACATTTATCAATCATTAAATATCCTTATCTTAAACAACTGAATATTATTTGTCCTTGCAAAGATTACCATGAACAATTCTTATTCGATACTAAAACGTGTTTACCATTTGATGTTCGTGTTAGTATGTATTATAAACGAGTGAAACAAATGACATGTAATTTCACAAGTAATGGAACACGAAATAATTGTGCAAAAATGAATTACGCTAATTTATATATAGGAATAAAAATTGTTGGAGATCCTGAGAATTTTTGTGGTGAAACACGAGAACTTTCTGAAGATATAAAAAGTTATTTTCCTCGTACGCAAATAGATTGTTTATTGTGAATTTATTATTTAAATAAAACATGAACAAAAGCGTCTCAGAAAAAAAGAACAAAATTGAACTGGAATTAGCAAGGACTAGCAGATGTGAAAAAAAATGGTGCTCATAAAACAGTTGAATTTTATTGTAAGCAAGAAAGTAGATTTTCGGAAATCAATATGATCTGATTTAAAATTGGGACGGTTTAGATTTCGAACATTGTATAAGTGATAGTTTAGAAAGGGATTTTCATTTAAATAAATAAGTAACACATAGATTCGGTTTATGAATTTTAAACATTTGTTAGGTAGTGATCCTTTGTCATAGAAAATCTGTCTCTTTGAAGCATGAAGAATTTGACAAATTGCAAGGCTTTACCTATTCAAGTTGATCGATTGTTCAAAGCGTGAAACCAATCATGAAAAGAAACGAGTTTATTTTGTATTATGCATTAAAAGACTTCTATATAAATCAATTAGTTAAATTAATATAAAAATAATTGAATATGCTGAAGATACTAGATAAACCATGCTAAAATGATTATAGGTGTTCTATCAGTTTATTTAGGGTGTGGGTGGGTGTGACTTTGGCTGAGTATATGGCAAGACACCCGCACCCACCCACGCCAGGTGTTGATTCAACTGGACAATTTCAACTTAAAGATTTAGTTAATATTTTGTATCTTTTTTTTATTATAAAATTTCTTTTACATGTTTATTTCTCTATATTGAGCGGATAAAGTTGGTGTTGTTATACGTATAGAAAAAGAACGTTTACATAGATTAAATATCGATGGGAAAAGTTCAAGTTCTATCAATTCAATCGGCAACAAAACGAAAAATAAATCGAAATGCAGCAGCAATTGATTCACAAAATAATAATTTAAATGTTGGTGATATGGTTACTGTTATTGATGGACCATTTGCAGTAAGAATAAAAAAAAGAAATTCTCTTCGAAAATATTTATTTTAGAGTCGACAAGGACAAATAAAACATCTTTATCGTCATTTTGTTTTTATATTTTGTCATACATTAACTGAAAATGGTGGTATATTTGTACGTAAAACAAGAAATTTATTATTAGCTGGTGAACAGAATTACAGCTATAATTCGGTGGACAATCAAAAGTTTCATCAAATCCAATAAATACTGTACCTATGTCACCACTTCGTATCACATTGCCATCACCACATACATCATGAGGGGGTGGTGGTGCATCAACACATTCAAATAGTCCAGCAAAATTCCGTTCTGGAATTGCTTTCAGTTCTGACCCTCACGTTGCGCTGTGCGATTAGATTAATCTATAAAATAAATCAGCAATTCGAAAATTCCGGAAATTTGGTCAACGCGGAATTGGATGAAACTGATTCTGCAATGTGCAACATCACGGAATACGATGATTGCTCCACAAAAATTGGCTACTAATTGATCAAAATATTTTCTGTATAGATTCGAGAAACTACGAAACTTAAATGATTGATATCGAAAATCAAAGAAATATTTCCAACATATTCGTTCGAAAAGAATCATTACAACATGGCAATGTATTGATTTCATGAGACACAATTGAAAAGGTGTTACATTATAGGACTAGAAGTTAGAAACTTAGCTTTCGCCTAGATGTGATGTGGTAGATATGTTAAGAATGCGCTTGTTCCTCCACCACGATTTCAACGGATGCTTTAGCAACGTCTCTTCTCTAATACAGACCATGATAGATACTTTAGTATTGACGATTCCTTCACAAAAAACCATTATTCTTTCAGGATAACTGCAATAGATTACGTTGATCATCATTCATCATTGACACGGATTAACGTTATGTAGTAATTTACTAGTCGAAATCTATGTTAGTGAATTCCTTGTATTTACATATCACCCACTTCATTGTATTTCCCATTTTAAGCTCGCAGGAACTATGCTTATAGTCCTCGTTCCATTTCGAGAATTCTTGTATCGCATAATTTGATTCATAGATATGTTAAAAGGATTTTTTTCTAATTTGCTTTATATTTCTTTATGATTTCAAGTGCGTTGTAAACATAATGGCAGTTGAACCATAATTTATCATTTTCAGTGAACCTTATGGATAATTTACCGGTGTGATACATTTTCTTATATTTTAAATCAATATAACATGTATCCTAAAAAAGTCAACCATACTTCTTCAATTCTTATGATAATCGATAATTGAAGTTCAATCAATCTACATGCATTGCACTCACTAGTTTTTTTTTTTATCAAAGACATTGATTTCTTTTTCATAAAGAGACAAATCAAAAGAGAAATATTATATGTGTTCTATTTAAGTTTCTTGTTTAACTATGTATATTCAGAAAAAATACTCATATCATCACCATATAATAATCTACCCATTTTACTAAACAACACTTCAAAGTCAATCCATTGTTATTTATCAATTTTTATCTTTCTATTCTGTATTATCGAGAATAATCTCAAAAAGACGAACTCTTCGTTCAAATTAGTGTGCTTATGTATTGCTTCCCATATAGGTTGCCAATTTCATTGCTATTTTATCCATGGCCACTATATGAATAAAAGCTTGTTAGACTGTTGATGCAACAGATATTACAGCGTTATATTCATGCATACCTGTTTTCCTTTGTTGGCAATGCCATAAATGAACCTACCATATATCTAATTCATGATTAACCAAATCAATAAAAAGAAAGAACAAAATACAACGAACACTGATGATGATCATCTTCTCAAAGCGTTTCTTTTTCAAGTTTTTCAAAATAGAGTAAAACTACTATAAAGATAACTCATACTTTATTTCATAGCTCTAAATATAGCCAGATGTTGTAGATCATTGCTAGTTGTAAGAGATATTATAAAAGATAATGATCTATTCTGAAAAAGTTTCATCAATAAATTTTACATAGACTTGATTCAAATGTTTCTTCACAATAAATATGAAAAAAGAACGAAACAAAAAATAAAATCATCGATGAAATCAAACAGAAAAATACAGAGTACATACATCGTCCGAAGTAAGTTCACGATTATATATACGCCAATCATCAATTGCACCTGTAAATGGACCTGGTCTACTGACTAAACCACTTGAACATGTACCATCACATCCATTTAAACAATTACCTAATGTTAAATAGTTTGGTGTTGTTTCACTCGCTAGAAATGTTGGAGCTGCAACCGAACTAACAAGTATATTATTCACATATAGTTTTAATCCATTTGTTGAACTCCACGTTTGAACAACCGCTATCCATAATGACGATACTGGTAAAATAGAACCTGTAGCTGTCACAACAATATTATTGTCAGTTAAAACTTGTGCAATGATTGCTCCATTTGAATCAAAACCCAATAATGGAAAACAGTGAGATCCTGTACCTTGAGATGATGTTGATAAATGAACAAGTGTACCTGATAGAATTTGAGGTTTAATCCAAAATGCAAGTGAAAATGGTTTATTACTAAAACCAAATGAAGTAAAACCCCATGTTTGAAAATAAGATGTTGATAAACCAGAAAATGAGATAGCTTGATTTTTATAACCAGTAATAATTGAAGTACTTGAGAAAGTCGTTGCTACTGCATTAGGTCCTGAATCAATATATGTTGATGGACTATCAAATTTGAAGTGACCAGCTAGTGTTGCTATTTCAAGTATTTCACAAGGAGATTTTGCTCGTCGATCAATTGATAATTGATCGATATAACCCTAAATTATATCATATTATAATTAAATCATTTTCGAAATCATCACACAAAAATTATCTTCTATAGAATGTCTTTTTTTAGAAAAGACAATTTGTTGAAATTACCTGAAAATAACTATATGGAAAGTCTACGCCTTGATTAATGCCCACTGTAAAATTGCCTGATTCACCTTCAAATGAATGTAATGCAGTACTTTGTACATCTTGAAATCCATTCAAATAGATTGTCTGTACTTTTGTTGTTAGATCAAAAGCAAATACTACATGTATCCATTCATTGAGTGGAATTGTTGTTACACCTTGAATATCATCAAAATAAAATCCAAAGTAAAGTTTTTTATTACGAATATTAATATGAAGACATCGATCTACTATTTTCGACGGACATAAGCCAACAATACTATGATCTCTTGGATTAGGATATCCTGTTGGTTTAATCCATGCTTCTATAGTAAAACTAACATTATTTAATGGAATAAATGATGTGTACATCGCTTGTTGAAGGGATGCATCAAATGAAGCAGCTTGACCAAGGTATCCAGGAACAAAAGTAGGCAGATTTAGAGATGGAATTCCGTTGTAATTACCAACTATGTCAACATAAGAACCATCGAATGGCCAGAAAGCGAGACCATCTGAAGATTCAATCCATGATTGATTAAGACAGGATGTACCACAGCTAATTGTGGTCGTAGCGGTACCTAATGAACGGTTGAAAGAAAGATGATCAAAATAAAATTGTGATCTATTAGATAAACATCAAACTATGCATTGCTTTTTTAGTCGATTACTAAAATAATTACTTGCTCATCATATTTATTAGGGCGTCAGAATAAAATATTAACTTTGATAAGATTATAAGATAAGAAGAATTTTTTTCTTTTCGCATACATAGAACAAAAAAATTTTAAGTGACAGTTGATCAATGAATAATGACTCAAGATATTATTACTCAGAAGGCTAGGAAATTTTAGATGAATTGTTAATTACAAGGCATTTCTTATTACACGAAATGTAAAGTTTTACTATTGATTTCAAAATAAAATGTGTTCCATTATTTTCCAAAATAACGTTTGATAGAAACATGATAGAGGCCCGTATCTATAGAAATATATCAATTGAATTGATTAGAAATTGACTAATTTGTTGAGTTTTCGATGTCAAGTGTTAAACACGATTACTCGATAGAAAAGCCTTGCACAGTGCCTCTTCTGCATGATTAAATATTACTTAGCAGAAATTGAGGATCTCAGAAATAGTTTTGTAACTTTCAAATGAAACAAGCTAGGAATATTGATCTTGCATAGATGCAAAGAAAAGAATTTTCTCTATCGACTACTCCGATTATTACTGACCAATCCAATATCGATACACTTTGTTGACCCAGGCTCTTCTCTCTTGAATGATGAAAATCACAAGTCTCTATGATGTTTCTATCAAAATTGATTCAAGAAACAGCTAGTGGAGTGCATCATATTTTGAGATGGATAGTAGATAAAACGCATCAAAGAAAACATATACATTAACTGACTTGCTGTAGTTGTAGTTGTTGTCGTTGTGGTTGTGGTTGATTTAGTAGGGATAGTTTTAGTCGGTATAATAGTAATAGTTTTGGCGAACACAGTAGTATTTGTTTTATCAGCTATTTCTGTAGTTGAATTGAAGACTATATAGAGTAAATAATTTTAAAATATTATATAAAATCAAAGCAATTTTCAAAACTGACATGTAATTATTGATGTTGTTTGTGATTCCTTATTCTTACCAATGAAAAGAATAAGAAATGTAGCAATTATAGCGAGAATAAGAAGAATAAGTAAAATTAAAAGTCCAATACAGAGTTTTGAACAAGGATAACATGTAATACCCCAACATCTGTACATAAAAAAAGACAAGATGCAAAAATTATTAGCTAAAGAAAACTTAGATACTCGTATTCAATAAACTTCTCAAAACATTCGAGATTTTCTTAATGTATATAAGCTATAAATTTCGATTGTTTATTTTAGATTGGCATATTATAAAAAAATATTGAAATCTTATAAATCCTAGAATTTTCAGCGACTTGAAATTTCGGATTTCATTTTTAATTACCAAGATCAATCAATACGGGCTGTTTCTTTTTGCTCTTTACTGCGAGAAGCGGTCTGAAATCATCAGAGATTTTCCTATCAATTTCTGTGACAAACTGCATTTTTTCTGTGAGTTTATTTACATTAATATGTACTGTATTGGATGCTATTTCGAAATTTCTCTAAATAAATATAACCTGTAGAATCACGCTATTGATTTTAGAATGATCGAATGATGAGTGAATCGATAATAATATTGTTCAGAAAAAAAGCCGTACTACTTATATATGTATTATTGGTGACTGTCATAATTGACAAACTAGGTTATTTAATAAAATGCTTGATTAAGTTATAAAATAAACTAAAATTATTTCACAAGAATTGAAAAAACTTTTCTGAAACGGTATAACTTCACATTAAATTTATTTTTATTTTGTAAAAATTTCAAACGATAGTAATACTCTGATGTTCATTGATGAAAAATTTTTCTCATTAGAAGATGTTAATGCTGCAAGTAAACAAGAAGCAGACGAACAACAGGACATAAACCAATAAGTTAAGTATCCAAAAGGAATTATGATACGGTTAGGTACATCTAAAAATGGTCTTACATCACTCCTTATATTTAAATCTGGTAAAATATTATCACATGAAAATTATATTGAAGTTGTTCTTCTACAAAAACAATCAGAAGGCAAACGACTTCTGAACAATAACTTCATCTGTCAAGAAGACAACATCGCATCACTGACACATCAGAAATTATTGACATAGTGTGAAGAAAATTTCATGCATTTTATAGACAATACAGACAATCACCAAATAGTCGTGATCTTAATATTTTCGATTATTACGTGTGAAATGCTATTACCAATAATATACAATGGAATAAAGCTGAAAACTATGATTCATCAATTGATGAAATACGAAAGACAAAAGAATTTGCCTTGTATGAATAAATGATATTGCTAACATGGCTGATGGTTATGTTGTTTGACATACATTCACAAGAGACTGCATTCTAAGCTTGGTATCACTAACAACTCTTTGGCTGGGATCATCTAGCCAATAGCATGGTAACTATGTTGTGACATACACCAATTCTTATGGTTAGTCAGTGTGTATGGGAAGCGCAAGATCTCTGCATCAGGGTAACCCTCTGTCCAAAGCTACAGCTAGTGTTAATTGTAAGGAATATGTTGGACTACTGAGCCTGCCACAAGGTAACCGACAGGCAGAAGCATTCTTTCTTTCTTTCTTCGTCCAATGAACAACATCATTTGCAGCATAGGAAATGGGTTGCATAGAATTTTTCTTATTTTGAAAACGACAAGTACATTATTAAAATAAGCTTTTGTAGATTATAGAGTCGTTCATGTTGCATCTTGTGTCACATGCTGGTATTTTTTTTTTTATAAAAATTCTTAGAGATTAAAATATGAAATACAATTTGCGATCATTTATTACAAGTCACCAGTTACAATTTAAAAGGATATTTAATATTTTACCTTCGATATTGTTTTGTGTCTGGTTTTACTTCATCATTTTTCATTCTTGCTTGACGTCTAGATTCAGATAGCGATTCGATATTTATAGGCCATGCAATATCTGTCTATATGAAAAAAAAACAGTTAATTAAATACAAACTAAAGTTCCTCGAGAAAATTATCGTAAATATCTCTTGTACAAATCAAATGATTTAATTGATTTTTTTATAATATGTCAGTGTCATCTGTATATCTTCAGATAAATGTTTGTGCCTGTAAATATTTGAATAAAATAGTTTCATAAATGGCCACATTAGAGTTACTTATAGTTGTGAAACAAAAATTGCTACTCGAGTTCAGCAAAAAATAAACGAAATGAATATTGCATTAAATTCAAATTGCAATGTTTGTATGAAAACTAACAGAGTGAAAGATCAGGAACGTTCTGAATGACCATCAAAAGTTACAGAAGAAAAAAAACAACAAAATTCATGATATTAGTGGAAAATGAACCATAATCAAGTGTTCGAACTGTTCCAAACGCCTGCTCCATTTCACGAACACTGATTTATTTTTCACAAACACCATAAGTTTCGTCGACTTATTCTTCTGTAGTTTTTGATGATCTACCCAAATGTGCTTGGTTTTTCGCTGTGTTAATTTCATAAGAGTATTGGAATTCAACTCATGAAATCTTCATTTACTGCGTTTTTCTCGAGTTCAACTTGCATTTGTCATTTCACAACCAATGGTGACTCAAATTTGACCAATTATAATTCTATTTTTATTTTAATACTTATAAGCACAGTCATTTATCTGAAAATATACAAAAAATACTTACATTTTATAAATAGATTAATCGAATCGCTGGAATTGTACCCGAGATATTTACGTTAACTGTTCCAACTGACTTTTTGGAACATCCTGTATATAAATATATGTCTTACTATAGATTGATTGTCCATATTATTAGATTGGAACAAATTTCAAATATATTTAGCAGTGGTGTGAAAAGAAAAAACAGTGGATCGTATATACTTGATAACCAAATGACATCAAAGGATTTTATTCATTGTCACTATTGATAATATAATCAAATTTATTGGGCACCAGCTTTAGAATTTCAATATTCTCCTTTGTCCTGTGATTGTTTATGAATTCATTTTGACTGGTTGATGCTGTGGCAACATTTGTTGTTAACCCTATCACACCACTACATATTTACATTTCTGAATGCATAATAATGAAAGAAAAATATTTTCTATTGACAATTTCTACGTTTTGCGTGGGTTTATAATTGTTATCAATGGATTTTTAAGATTTATCACTTCTGTATTCCTATGCATTGTTAATAAACATCAATATAATTTATACAAAAAAGAATGGAATTGATCGGTTAAATTTGATAAATCAAGTAAAATAAATCAAAGATATGTACAACTATCTTCTTTAAGACTTTGTATTGGTAACAGATATATGTTAATACGAAGTAGAATTTGCAAGAAATAAGAAAAAAAAAACTAATATAAAAATTATCATCTGTTATTTTTGTTTCATACATAAAGGCTGAAAGTAGTGTAGTATTAAAAGAACAGAATTACTATTCTTGATTTAATACTACTCTAAATTTACCGTTGAATGCTTAAAAATATATTCAAAGTTTATATTTCGACTTTATTTCAACAAACATATGCGAATAATAGAATCATTTTCTTTCAAGAATTCGTTAAACTTTTATAACTAAACTGATTACAATGATTAGTATATGTGAAAGTCTAGTAATCGTAGATCTCACTTGCCAATATCCGAAAGTATTGGAATCACAGTTTTTAAATAGAGGGCGAAAAGATGGACTATCAAGAGATGATCGTAATCGGAAAAATTTTCAATAATAGTGTCATTGTGATGGATGAAAGCTTTCTCTCCATCCTCACCGTTATGCGAAGTAGAGTTTAAGTTAATAATAATGTAATGTATAATACACCACTGATAAAATAGGTAAATAAATTGCCTTCATTTATATGAAATTCATTGAGCTAAGTCAACAAATAAGAAATTTGTTGCTTCCTTCAGTCAAAACATAAACCGCATTTTCATGTCGACACAATGAATGTGGAAATGTCGATAAAGACCGTGCATATATGATGTTCGTGGTTTAGTATTTCTTACAATTTATTCTTAAAAAAAAATATTTACGTATTTGTGTTGCGATTCAAAAAACAACCCTACACAAGATAACCTTTATTTTAACGTAAATAAAAATATAATAATAAATCAGAGAATCAATATGCGAACTGTCACAGCAAATGTAACATTACATTCTTTTTTGACCATTAAACCATAGAAATTATATTACAATTATATCACATAAACGATTATATATAAAACTCGTCAGTATTATTCCTATCAATCTGATTCTGTATGATGTAATACATCTCTTGCTTCTTTTCTCTCACTTGGTGACCATGTACATAATGATGGAATAAATTCTGTTGTTCCACAATTACCCCAACATATCCAACCCCAACCAGATTTTTCATCTAACATAGCACGTCGAACACGAGTTCGAAATTCTCTAGCTTCATATTCATTTTCCCATGCTGTTGATATTTTCAATAATTTTAAAATATATTCTAATACAATATTAGGTAATCGTCCATTATTCCATTCATGAAGTATTTCAATAATTTTATCTTTTGGAGCACGAAGAATATCATTTGATTGTTGAAGAATTCGTCGTGTGGGATCAACAATAAAAAAATTAAGAAATGTTCGACGACGACCATTATCAGAAGTTAAATTTCGAATTTGTTGAAAACGATGTGGTATTGAATTAGAAAAAATAATTGCAGTACCTGTTTGAATAGATGGAATTCGATGGTCAATCTCAATTTCTTTATAATATTTTTGTGGACCATATTTTGGACGAAATTTTAATGAACCACCTTCAAGTTGATCATCTACATGTAAATAATAAACTCCAACAGCAACAATATTTTCTGTTTGACCTTCTGTATGCCATCGACCTGAATATTTCATACCTAATAAAGCAAAATTTATTACAATCATAAGTAAAAATATTTTTAACCTCCTTTTAAATTATAACTTTGAGCTTTAACAATAACTTGTAATCGTTGTTCTTCATTGATTTTCATTTTAATTAATTTTATTTTTTCAAATAAAGGTAACATAGCATGAAATATATGTGCAATATCACCATAACATTGTCGATATTCAGATAGAACAGGTAAATGATGAATTGGTGTTTTAATATCAACTTTTCCATCTTTATCAATAATAAATTCTGATGATAACCATTGATAAGTATTTCGTAATTTTTCATGTTCAGAAAGATCATTATATTCTCCAGCAGCTAAATCTCGTTCGAAACATCTCAATTTATACTCAGCTGTTTTTAATTGTTTTACTCGTCGTGCAATCCATAGACTTCGATCAAATTTTGGTGTTGGTCGACAAGAAAGTAGATCTGGATCAATAATGTCTTCAACAGGTGATGGATATGGATGAAAATCTTTTCGTTCTTCATTAAGTTTATACAATGTATTTAAAAGTCGTGTTCGACGTAATTCACTAACTGGTAATTGTTCATAAATCCATACTGGATAAACAAGAAATGCACGACCACCATCACCAAATTCTACATTTCTATCACCATGTAATCGATAAAAATCAGGTTTAATAATAGTTTTTTCATCGATTTCTTCCGATGGATCGATTAACCAATTTTTATCTATATCAATCCATTTACAAACCCAACATGATTGCATATGATCTGGTCCAAAATTTTCATAGATATAATCTGAACAGTTAGTAACTTGTGCTTCTTGTTCATTTAACCATATGCGAATACGTTGATTAACTACATAATCAATTAAATAAACACGACAAGGAAATTTTTCGATTGGATATGTTTTACGGTGAAGATGTGATGAAGAAAGTTCATGTAAAATTTTTTCATCAGTTACATGAATTGTAAACCATTTGTAAAGATATTCAGTAGGATGAAAAGAATCAAATGAAATAAGTTTACATTCATTAGTATTGTTAGCAGGTATTGCTGCAGCCATGAAAAAAGAACGAGAAAAATATTTGCTTTGATATGATGTTGCAATTACATTACTGATGTAGTTATAAATCAGCCAAGGCCAAAGACAGCAAGATGGCGTTGGGTTCTAATAATAAAAATATTATAAAAATGAACGTAAATTTAGATTAATTGGTGTCAAACTTCTATTTTATTAAACTATGTATAGATTCAATTTTTATTTATTTGAAATTCACGTAAAATATTTTTAAATATAGTTATCGTATTTGATTATGTTTATTTATTGTAAAACATTTCTAGAGTTGAATTATTAGATCGAAATCTTATCAAGATCTAAAGGTGTACAAACTTTTTTTTTT